TGCTAATGCCACGACAATATTTGAGAACGTTTCCTCGTTTGAGCCATTTTGAATTTCAGCAACGTTAACGTTGTTAAAATGTATTCGTGCGCACTGTTTTTGATGCGTAAATTCAATAGAAAGGTGAAAGAAAGTTACGTTTTATTTATTTAAAATCTTAATAAAATGATAAGAAATGAATGTAATATTTTTTCCTTTGATCGATGTATCAAAGAAAAATTTGGACGGAAAACTTTTTTATCAATGCGCTACGCGCATTGATGAAGTTTTTCGGATCAAATTTTTCTTTGATACATCGATCAAAGGAAAAAATATTACATTCATTTCTTAAAGCCATACACATGATCCATGAATAGCTTTTGCTGAATAAAGTTGTGCTTTTTGATTGTGACGTCACAATGTGAAAATGACGTCACTAAGTAGGTCACGTATGACGAAAATTAGTTGTCTCACTCGTACTCGTTCAACAGAGAACTGTAGATTTATTGCATATCTTAAAAATCCTTTGAAGTAGTCTATAAAAATTTGAACACAATTTATCAAGACAAATGTCTTCCTATAAATTCGTGTTAATGAAGGAATAAAGATGGTTATAAATGATACTTTTTTTATTGCCCAGTGAAGTTTCTAGTATGCCGGTCCCCAGAATCACGCGATTGCGCATGAGCAGTTATTTCCCTTGCCGTTGCTATGCAGAATGTAAACAAACCGCAATTTCCCACTCGCTTCAACAAAACGCATCCGATCGAGTGATTAGGGTTAGGTTATATAGTTTTTAAAATTGGGGTTGTTTTATAAATCCACTCTGTAATCTTTCTGACTTTGGGCTAATTTATGTAATTTTTGCTTACAAAAGGCACTATGAGTGCCTTTTGTGACCAAAAACTTGCATGAATCAGCCTGTCGAATCGTGCCGATATCTTACACTTTGGTTTAGTTCATGAAATTTTTGCTTTACAAAGGAAAGTTTAAGAAATAAAAGTTAGGGTAAATCAACTCTATTGTCGAAACATGACGATTTTCAGCGCTTAGTTTAGGCAAGTTATTGCAAAAGCAACTTACCGTTAACTGCAGCTCGATATCCTGACCTCCTAATCATGTCCAAATATTCAGAATATTTTTCCTTCCAAATCGATAATGATGCACAATTCAATCCATCGATGACTAATTAGCTAACATTTGTTAAATCCCTGTTTTTCTCACAAAAATCACGCAATTTTAATAGCATTGCACTTTGAGTCCTATCAGGCATTTCTTCATTACGTCAAAACACAAGTGACGCATCTCATGAATATTTATGAGATTACGTCAAAAATTGATCACGTGACTACCTTCCTAAACAACGCACAATGGAGATTTACTTCCTAGACAAGTACGTTATTTTACGAAATCTTTTAATTCTTATTTAAAAAACTGTGTTTAAAAACCAGTTTTTTAAACCCAATTTTTCACAAGGAACACGACTTTGGGGTCAAATTTGCAATTTGTGGCTTCTTTTTCGATTTTGTCGATCGCTCACGCGATCGTCTATATATTGTACACCGCCTTCGGCAGCACCTATTTTAGCGCCATATTTATGGGGACCGGTATACTAGAAGTGTTCCGCAAGTTTGAAAAGAGATGTGTTTTTAATTAAGCAATTTGCTATCAAAGACCTCCAATTTACACTTTGAAAAATACTTGAAAATTTCAACGATAATATACTTATTAAATACCTAAGATATCGTTTACTTTAGATTTTAAATATAATAGATATGATAAAAAGAAGGCACTCTTGAATAAATGTCTCTACAAAGACAGAGGATTTGGGTTTTGATGGTAGCAAACGCCAATGCTTATTTTTGGAAAGGGATAGAATGCACTTTACCGGTACGGCCGCCATTTTGATTCTTAGATCCGCGCGTGAGAGTGCGCGGCGTAAAAACTTAGCAACGTATCAACTATGATGGGGGCGACGCCATTTTGTTGTGTAAGAAACTCTCGAAGCGAGAAAAAAGATGTATAAATGGGGTTTCGCTTTTTTAAGCGGGGGTGTTGGGTCGGCAGCCCCCAATACGTAAAAATAAATAAAACAAACTTACCTTAGTCGTTAGATAGATCTGCATTAAGGCTCGGGGCCATACGTACGTGTCACTATACATGTAGAACCATTGTGTCTTTTTTTGACGAGTTGTAAATACGTTTTTATGGGTGATGAAGGAGATAAACGTCAATTTTTAATTATAGCTACTATCCTAGTGCATTCTTATTTTAGTAGAGATTTCCTATATCACTGCATTCCATGTGGTCTCAATGATTGTAAAGTATCCAGTGTTTTGCAAATTGAAATAGATAAATTTTAGTTCGTAAATCCAGGATTTACTGCAGCTCTGTTTCCAGAAATCTAAGATGTGTCTCTTACGTTTCATTTTTCTTATACTGCCGATTGCTGTTTCTCGAAACAAGACCGTCCTCACTGCATGTTTACAAGTTTTGCCCCTCCACTTATATTCAACATTTCCATAAACTAAGGATCACATTTATCGCTAAAATTTCCAAAAATTCTAGAATGTTGCAGTCAGTCAATCAAAAATATCCATTCATAGAAAACACAACACAAATCATCTTAAATAAGGTGCATGATGAATCACTGTTTACAATCAAATAGAGTGGAAGTCAAACTTTTTATTTCACGTCACCTACACTGACCAATCACAGCACTGAAATAAGTCACGTGCTTAACAACGTCACGACTTTGAAATGTAGCCGACAAAATGAAAGCCAAAGGTTTGTTTTGAAAGTGCTTTTAGTTTTAATTAATAACTTCGCTAATTAAACGAAGTTTATTAACATGAAAAATGACGAGGAATTCAAAAAATATGTTATTTTTGCATTTTATTGCCTTTTTAGCGAAATCGTCACGCTGACGCGTGACTCTCTTATAGAGAAAGAGCACGTGCTATTTCCATGTTATTTGGACATACTGGTAAAGTGCAGTTGTCCCCATGTATTTTAAATAAGTTCTCTCCGATTTTAATGCACATCTGCCACTTTTCTGCTCATGCGTGTAAATCACGTGATATAGGCGGTCACGTGACTCTCTCCGTAGCGTTCTGTCACAAAAGCTCAAAGATTTTTCTGAGTTTTATATTTCTTTCCATGTACGTAAATTGTTGAGCTTTTGTGACAGAACGCTACGGAGAGAGTCACGTGACCGCCTATATCACGTGATTTACACGCATGAGCAGAAAAGTGGCAGATGTGCATTAAAATCGGAGAGAACTTATTTAAAATACATGTATAATCAACAACGAAACCAAATATTCTTTCTTTTATGAAAGTTATTCAATTACTTCGCGGACTTTTTGATCACCCCTCGTAAGTAAAATGCAAATATTTAAGAAATGAATTTAATTCTTGAAGAATCATGAGGTTATAAACGACGAGCTTTAGCGCTTCATGATAAATATGCCGGCGTGAAGCGTTGTTGTTCATATACCTCATGAATCTTCAAAAATTAAATTTGTTTTTTATATTTACATTATTTTTCTGATCAAGTGACACACTAGTTCCGCCATCAACTGTCATTTTTAAAGCATAACACTTTGTACTATACTTTTGACATCAAGTGAGGTATTATGACGGAAATATTCATGCTCACCCATGGTGATTCATGAGAAAATATACAGTCTTCCTATTTGCGAAGACTCTTAAATAAAAGTATTTGGAAATGTAAATATAAATTGATCAAGCAGAATGCACTAAACGGGTGTAATCTGAATGGGTTTATTGTATTGTTCCTTTCATGTATTCAACCAACAAGCATAAAGCCATACTGAGCATGAATTATTATGTCTTAATAAAATTATCCAATAAAAATATCCTGGTGAGCTTGAGATTAAAGGGGCTTCAGAGTCTGAAACATCTGTTTCATATTTGGATTCATTTATATTTATTTTCTGTGTTTGTATTATTTATTGCATGATATATGTGCTTTCTGTGTCGTTTTGTGTGTGTATGTGTAAATATGCTTGTTGTGATATATGACAATGTGATCCTAACTGTTTTATGTGTGTAATCCTTACTGTTTTATATGTGTATATAGTCATTTATGATATGGAGTACTAATATTATGTCGGTCAAAAGCTCTACAGAGCTTATGTCTTCTGTTGTAAAAAATCCTCAACTTCCCTTACCTATGCAGCAATATACCTTTATCACCTGCATACGGAGTGTATATATCTCAGTTTATAAAACGAGGTAAATTATTGAAAAGCAAGTTGATGAAACAAGAATATCAGCAATCTCGTTCAAAGTCATCATTTCGTAAGTTCTATGGTCGATACAATGACCTTGTCAGAAAATACAATAAATCATTGAGTCAAATGCTGACTGAAGTTTTTCATACAAACTGTTAGTCCATTATATATACACTGAATTGAAGAAAGATTTTCCTGTTATTTCCCGATCATGATAAGGAGCACACGGCGAGTGTGACCGGTCAGAAGGGGATGCTCACTCCTCCATGGCACTTGATCCGTCTTCTGATGTTTTGGACGTCCATTATCTCCATACCCTTCAATCCATTATTTCCGATCGTTTAGTAGACAAAACTGCCTTATGATTGACGTAAACCAATAATAGCTGTTGTCCTTAACCAAGAATTTGATTTCAATTCATACATTACAAGCAGTGAGTTTTAATGTTTTACCTATTCGATATACTGCTGGAATCAACATATTGTCTTATCACATGTTTAACTCGGAACTCAGTACGTCCGCTTTTATTGGGATGTTAAAAGTGTACATGTTTTGGAAAATATCATTTCTTTGATGAGATACATTACCTATATTTAATATTTGGTGTGGTTCATGTTGTTGTAAGCTTACGACAAACATATCTAAATTACCAACGTGTACGACTACGGTTCCTACCGAAGCCTTTTATTGAAATACGAGCAATTTTACCTAATTATTAGCCATAATTTAACAACTTTATTAAAACGTTTTTTTTTATTTTAGATCAACAAAACATCGTTATAGAAAACTGGAAGGATGACGATTCTTTATATCAAGAAACTCACAGCTTCCCCTCAATGATGGACAAGGTAAAAAAACAGAACTACGTGACCTTTGTTGGTGTTTCAGGGTCCGGGAAGTCAGCCACGGCTCGTCACATTGCCCTCAAACTCAAAGAGGAAGGTTACGAGGTTGTACCTATTACAGAAATCAGAGAAATTAAGGATTATTGTGACACGCAGAATCCTCAGGTTTTTGTCATTGATGATGTAGTTGGTGTTCATGGCCTTCAGAAAACGAAGTTAGATATTTTGGAAGCTTATGAAAAAAACATATCAAATCCTTGCATGTGTCTTTCTATAACTTTGATGACATGCAGAGAGGTTGTGTTTAATGAAGCATTGTTTTGTGAACCCTTCTTTACAAAAAAACAAAATGTTATAAAGCTGCATGACTCAGAAAATGCGTTAGATAACAATGATAGGAAATTGATGCTTCGAAAATATGGTCTAGATGTAGATTTACTGTCACCTTCATCGCTGGCAGCAGTATCTCGTATGTTTCCACTTCTTTGTAAACTTTACTCAGGGGGAGAAAAGTTTCGACGTTTCAATTTAGATTTTTTTATCTCACCAATAACTTGTATTCGTCGGCAATTTTATGAAATGCAAAGACGGAAAGAACTTCATTATGCATCACTTGTGTTATGTATGCTAAATGGAGGTCACATCTCAGAAGATGCTTTAGAAATCAATGAGAACGAATCTTTTATTGATATTAAAAGAGAGGTGTTAAAAAATTGTAAAGTAGAAAGCAATACTGATACATTCAAATTCATCGGTGCTTTGTCAGCCATGGAGGGGACGTACACAAAACAAAGTGGTACACATTACACTTTTGTACATGACTCAATCTTTGAAATATTAGCTTATCAATATGGCCAACAGTTTCCTCAGCAAATTTTAAAGTGTTTGAATAGTACTTACATTGCAAACTGTGTGAAGCCCAAGACAAATGAAGTTAGCAATGTGAGAGAAAGTGAAGAGAGAATGAATGCTTCTGAGTCAGAGAAGTGCGATGAAGGTAATGAGACTGAAGGGTCCTTCGATCTCTGTATAAGATTAAGTGAGGATCAGTATCCACAGCTAGCCCAGAGGTTGTACAGAGACATAGAGGAAATGGAACTTTACGACGTGTTCATGAACGATGCTTTGAAACATCCTCAGGTGTGTCAAGCTTTTATTGAAGTACTTAAGGGTAAAAGCTACATAGAAGTAAAATCCTTATTCTTTGATGAGATAGAAACCATAGAATTCTCTGGGGTATTTGAGTCATTGACAAAGGGGAAGCCGTACAACCAACTATTGACGCCACAACAAAGAAAATTGTGGAGAAGTAGGCACAAGGCATCAAGTCTTACACTGTCTAAGCTTTTGTTGTCCAATAAGTTGAGAGTGATTAGCTGGGTTATTTGTTTTGGACATCATGGGATCCTCCAGTATCTTGTAAAACAGACTGAAGATCACCAAGAAACAAACTCTGTGATGTTTTGTGAAAATTGGTGGTTACAAAAGCTTAAATCTATATGGCGTCTGATTGTTAGTCTGATATGGAGATCATTTGAATACCAAGAGGAAAAGAAACGATTACTCTTGCTTTGTTGTTTAAGTGGTGATGTGGACACTCTTAAGATATTGCTGCAATATGTAAGTAGAGATTATATCAATCTGGCAGCCACACCAGAGGGATGGTCCACACCATTGATAGTAGCTTGCGAGGAGGGACATGCTAGTATAGTTAGGGAGCTGATTAGTGTCGGGGCTAATGTAAATCTACCTGATAGATATGAAACACCACTGACAGTAGCGTGTAGGCATGGACATGATAATGTAGTAAATGAGCTATTAAAGGCAAATGCTGATGTCAATCTAGAAAATAGATTTGACACACCACTGACAGTAGCATGCAGGGGTGGATTTTCGAATGTGGTGGAAAAACTCTTGAAGGTTGAAGGGGTTGATGTTAATTCACCAGATATAGAAGGAAATACGCCATTAGTGAATGCATTACTCATGGGTTTTTCTACAGTTTTAGAAAAGCTCCTGGAATATGATATATTTTGTGTTAAAGAAGTTGACATTGGTGTCTCCGCATTGTACGCGGGATTTGCAATGAACAACACAGAAATAGTCGAGGGTTTATTAAAATCAAAACAATTGAAGGGAAAAGATGGGAAAAGACACCTGTTTAATATTCTGGTCGATATAAGAAAAGCTAATGTAAAAACAGACTGTAAAGATGATGTTACGGAGACAAACAGACGAGTATTGCTTATGGAAAGTAGGGGAAATTGGTCAAAGGCTATCCTATCCGAGGATAGTCGTGTATTGAGACATCTGTTAAATGTCGGTCTGGATAAGAATCAGTTGATACAGCTTTACACTGATGGCTTGTATGAGTCTGATTTGAGACCCCTCCTACATGTAGTTATTGATGAATATTATGTTAATGACAGAATTGAGAAAATAAAAATTCTGCTGGAGGCAGGGGTAAATGTGAATGCAAAATCTAAGCTGAAAACGATTGACCCTTGGTTTGGAACTCGAAAAAGTAGAGAATGCAATAATATGTTAGACAGGGAGGGTATTTCAGCTCTGGAGAGAACAAAACGAATAATAAATGCATCTGCACATGATGATTTCGTATTAACGAGGATTAAAACTCCCGAGTACAAAAAATTGATGTTGGTATTAAAAAAACGTGTCAGACGTCATTCTGCAAGTCAGTGAAACGGAAAAGAAACAGAGAATTCGAGCGCTAGTTAGAGGCATTTCAGCACTGAGCCAAAGGTTTATCATCCTGGGCATCCATGTTTCATGTATAAATCCGTATATATTTTTTTGAAAATAAATGCATGAATGTGGAGTTTGAGAGAGAAAATGAGAAGGAAATTATTGTATCAATTTGTATTAACCTCCTATTAACCGCCAAACTTATTAAAGACAAATTTAATTGTTGCACAAAAAATGTTTGTAGTTTATTTCCAAGAGTCTATGTTGTATAGGCTGAATTATCTAGCTTCGATATAATTGCTCTTTCTTAACCCCACTTAGATTATCCTATCAAGAAAGGTGATATTTTGTTTAACGGATATCAAAACCTCTTCATTTCGTTTTGGATGAGGCGTTGCTACTCAGTATCTATATACTTAAACATTTGAAAATCCTTTGGTTTAAACTTAGCAAAATACAATAAGTAACTTGTTGTTGTAATTTATAAGCCACCGGCTACTCTTCAGCAGAATATTGGAATTATTTTTTTATTTTACCTGCAACACCGGACTCTTTGATTCGAATATTCCTAACATATTGCTCGGCGATTTTAATGTTATGATGTCTGATTAAAGTGAACAATTAATATTTTTTACAAAGACTTAACCCAGTTTAACAAATCCTATGATCAAAGCTACTAACTTTGCTACAAACAGACAATCTCAACACTGAGAGAATTACCAAGTTGATTTAACTAGTGTGCCTAGTAAAGCGTTCTACGTGATTAGTAATCACTCTGTTTACTAGCTAAGATAGTGAAAAGTGGAGTAGTGGTCGTAAAGATACTTAAATACCTAGTGAAAGTTACTTAGATATTCTTAGATTTACTAACATTAGTAGTAAATCTACCCAATACCTGGTAAAACTACTTTTAAGGTAGTGATTGTATGGACAGTAAATTTACTAGTCTTCCCAGTGACTTTCACTAGTTTTTTTTTTCAGTGAATATATATAAATAATTGTTATACCTTTAAAAATTTGTTCCTATACAAATCTATATATGAAAACAGTACAACATTTCTAATGTTGGATCGCTTACGTCCCAGAATGAGCGGAGCTTAATCTCGTTTTCATTCATTTGTGTTCAAAAGTGATACTAGTATATCATGAAAGACAGTACAAAATACATGTATGTTGAAAAAAAGAAAGTGAAAGGTATCACAAAATTGACTTTGATCATGCTTTGATCTCGGGCAAAATGCATTTTGTCAACCCTCAAACCAAACTGTCTGCCTTCGGTTTATTGGCCTCAGGCCGAAAGTTTGATTCTTGGGTTCGACAAAACGCATGTTTCTCTAGATCTTAGTCAATAAATGTTTATGATTAATTGTTAATCCTTATCATGTACTTAATATCAATATTCAAATATCTGAAATGTACATTTATTTATGGCAATTGTGTATGTTTCTGTTTTATTTTTGAATATTTCCAAAATTGGAAAACTTTGTAACGTTAACGTTGGCCATTTTCCCGTCATTTTACTTTTTTCTTTTGTATGTTATTCCTATTGCTTTGCTATACCTAATATATATTAAAAAATTGTATTAATTAACCTTGAACTCGATATAGGGAAACGACAACAATAGGCTTGGTCTTCTGGCCAATCCCATTCACTTTTAGATTTGTCAGTGTGAATCAAATAATATTTAATTAAAATTCAATTACTGATTCAAGAAAATATTTTTTTAATATAAATTATGTTATGATATGATATAATATGAAAAAATCAAGATTCTGAAATGTGAATAGAATTATATTGCATTCAACTAATAAAGGTATTTGAAATCAGTTTATATTAATTTTTCGTGGACCCTGAGGTCCACGCAGTAAATATATAAGCGACATTAAACCGGATCCCCTGGGCAAAAGTCAGGATACGCATACGCGAGAATGCTAGAGAATTTGCTCCTAAGACAACTTGCTCCTAGAATAATTCGCCCTAGTCGAATTAGAATATGCCATTTCATTGGCAAATCTTGCTTTTAACTTTGCAAGATTTATCGTATTTATATATTTCTTGATTTTCTCTCATGCATGTACACTTTTATATACAAACTAAAGATTGATTCTATGGCACAAACATTTTAAAAAGTAGGAAGAGCGCGCAGTATATACTTTAAGATAACTTAACTTGAAAACTTCATACAACGACTAGTTCTGGCTTTTAAAATCGGCATTAGTTTTGTGCATCAAGACTCGCAAAATAATTTGATACACATTAATCCAAAATAATAGTTTGATAGATGCCTGTAGAAACGGTTTTTCATGTGGGGAAGGGGGGGGGTTCGAAAATTTAAAAATCTGCGTACTACAGATCTATATGCTACAGGTGTGCCATTAGATCTAATTTTTAATGATAGATTTCTTCCGTATAAGTCCCGAACAGATATCAAGTCTAAGTCGATACGGGTTACATGTATCAAAATAGCCCGACTTTTTTGAATAAGAAAACAATAGGCTAATATGAGATCAAATTTGACAATTTTGCTATGAATGCACTATCAGTCAAAGTAGGCAGGTCATTGTGGAAATGTAAACGAACCCACATGAATATTCACTAAACTTAGAAATTTTCTCTAATTGAATTTGGGTTAGAAACACGTGCAAATGGTCCACGTATTGCAGTCCTTTTTTAAAGGACAGCAACTTGTTCTAAATATTTTCCTGAACAACAGGTAATGTTACTCGTATATAATTAATAACAGATGATACAAACATTTTTAAGCGGTTAGCTTCGCTAACCGCTTTATGGCATGTATCGACACCGGAAACTTCCATAAGGCGCTACCTATCGACAATAGAAACTTCAACAAAGCCTCTACCTATGATTTGTTTCTAACACATATAACATATGTTAAATAAAATCAAGACTATCAAAACAACATAATCTTTCGGTTTTTAATTTTTATCTGATTTTGTTTGTCAATGAAATAAATTTATAATTGTTGTATTTTAAAATTTTATGTATAGGAGCATTTGGTGTCGAGATTAAATTTCCGTGACGTCAGCTGATGGCGATCGGGCCCTGTGACGAAATTCGAAGTCAGCATGAAGTTTGGCTGATAACATTATCAACGCGTTGGATTTAAACTTAAGGAAGAAATATATAGCGAGAAATATTATATTTGAACCCAATGCTACACGAAAACCAGTAGGCATATCCGATTTATGTGTTAAATTGAAGCCTGAATTGAACAGGGGGTCAAAATGGCGTAGCACACCTTGTGTATTTAAACTGTACGAGGGTTGTCCCGTAAAATCGTGGACAAGTTGTCTAGTTTGAAAAATAATCATCACTGCATTCTGAAATTTTCACTACCCTTTAGCACCTATATTATGAATATACAGAGCAAATTTCAAAGAGATATATGCAAAAATAATCAAATTATTAGATGTTATGTTATGTATTGTTTCGCCCTACGGCGCACGGATGATAACGCAAAAATGTCTAAAACAGCGTCACGTTTTCATCTTTGTTAAATAAAGCTGGATAACTACCGCTAAAATTAAAAAAAAAATCCATTGATTCACATACGCGAGTGTCTATATAACCTGATAAGGAACCCATCCGGCACACACATGCAGTCTTTTAAAATTCATTAACAAGTTTTGGACAGTATTCTTACCAGCATTCAAATAACAGAGAATCTTATATCAACGGTCGTCAATGGCAGCGTCTTTTGCTATTACAGTAGCAGTTTGTCCGTATATTTTGTACTACCTGAGGACTCAACCAAACAGAATTCGCTAACAAGACTTCCATTTCATTTATATACTAATGATCTGGTGATTGTTGTCATATTTTCTTTCTTCTGTATTCATTTTAAGTCTCTTAAGGTGTCATTACAACATCCAAATCTAACTGAACTTGTCTCCGGTGCGCCGTACGTAACGTCATCAAAAATCGCGATATTTTGTGTATTGTGTTTACCACTTTCCAGTTTCGAATGCTCGGGAAACTGCCAAAAATTAACGAAATGCCTTGAATTTTTTATAAAGACGACAAAATTGATTAAAGAATCGAATTATGATACTTTTAATCCCAATTGTATGTATTGAAAACTTTTATTACGAATTAATTCTTGTGTTCTCTCTTATGTAACCTTGTTATTTTTACCGTGCGCCGTAGGACCGTGCCCTGTACACATTTAAGCATAATAAAATCTTTATTTTTGTCTGTATGTTATCAAAAACATAATGTTGTACTTAAATATGATGAATAAATATTTACTGAAAATTTCAGCTTAGTGCGCCCATTACTTTTCGAGAAAAACGCTTTGTCCACGATTTTACGGGACAACCCTCGTACATAGAGGGGTAGAATGTTTCGATATTTGAAGGTTATTACAGACTGCAAAACATCGGAGAATCTCTCGAGTTTCATTTTCCTTGCCAAAATATTTAGCCATCCCTTTAATTAACTTAAGTAATACTTGTACATGAAGAAAGCCTTTATATAAAAAAAAACTGAATACATCTGCAGGGTTCTCCATCATTTGAAATTTTACTGTGTTGCAGAGTTTACGTGAAGCACTAAAATTTCGCGCTATTTTCGAGATCAAATTCGCAGCTGAATTACTTCTCATTAAAATTATATAGGAATATATGCGCACACTTTTTAAAATAAATCACTATTTCGATGTACAAATATTTTCGTCATACATATGATAAAAGTAAAAGCACGTGCTATGAAAAGCAGGGGAAATTCTGATCGATACAATCAAACTAATTACCACTTTTGAAAGTAAATTTGTTGTACTTTTTTGTCAGTTTTTTTTTTTAATCAAATTACCGAATTGCAAAGGAAAAAATAGGGAAACTTCAGGACAGGATGATATTCTTACTAGTTCCTTGAAAATTTAAAACAATTTATCAATTTAATGATTTCGGTAAAATGTTATGTTTGATTAAAGTTTCAGTTTGAGAGAATTTATATGTTTTGATTTTCTGATTATCAC